TTTGAACTGTAGCCGTTAAGCAATTGTGACGTCATAAATGTACTTATTCCATTGAATAAATTGTGAAATTTTAGTGGGTTTTTGATAATTATTTCAAAAGTTATCCTAATTTCAACGAGCCCTGTAAGTGTAAAGTGTTACGTCTTACAGCGTATTTCACGATGTCGGGATATATTTAACTCTAAAAATATGTTGGATCCCATCAAAATTTTGAAGAAAAAATAAGTTCACTGAAATGGGAATAAAAAATACTTCAAAATGATATATAAAACACATACATGTAGCTTGCTTTTTAAATAAGGCAGAGATTAACGCTCAAAGCTGAAATCAGCCCGTATTTCCCGAATTGTCCCCAGGTTCGTGCACGTCATAAATACAAATGGTTAATATTGTGACTCTGGCTCAAGAACTACTGACTTAATAAAGTTAAAAGTGAATGATAAGAGTGACAATAAGAGTGACATCACTGTGAATGTGATAGGGTGCTGGTAACTGCCTATAAAGATATATTTAACTTTTCCAGAATAAATGGACGTAAAATAGATCTTGTTTGACAAGCAATATTTATTGAAGCAACCAATATTAAACTATTGTACATACAATACATATATATGAACACATTGGGCCAGAGGCCTTATAGATATTGAATAAATAAGAATTCATTTTCAATGCAAACTTGCTTATATTGAGATAAACCATCCATAAAGTGGGCAAGATTGCTTGCGCTTCAGAACAAATTAGTCGTAGCACAACAACAAACGTATATCCCCTTGGGTTAAGTGATTACCGTCTTCCTGTGGTAGAGAGGTGAATTACTTCTGCAGAATTACTGTGAAGAGAAAAAATCGTGCACACGCTAACTATTCACAAACCACCGATAAAAACACGTCTTCCTGCTCCAAATCATTGGTTAGTATCAAGAAAAGATAACGGCAGTTACCTTCACATTAAAGTTGGCGGACTGCAAGTGTCTTCAATGATATTTGTAGTTTTCATCGAATTAAATCACTTAAAAGTACACATATTTCGGCCACATCAGGCTTATGAAAATAGTACATGTAGCTTGGAGTATAATATTTGCTCCTATATCCTGCGTGTAGTCACAGTTCAACAATATCTTCCACCGCTTAAGGGAAGGTAAGATATCGTGGAACTGTGTGACCCACAAAATTATCAAACTCCAGAGTTTCCATGCCATAAGACCTGGTGTGATTTAAATAACAATGCCTTATATATCAACTATTAAGTGGTTTGATTCGATGAAAACTAAAAATATCGAAATTGACACTTCCGGTTCGCCATTTTGAATGTGAAGGTAACTGTCGTTACCATGACCACTTATCTACGTTTTTTTTATTGATATCATGTCATAATCAGCCCCTTCTTAACCTTAATGTCTGCACCTTTTTATAACGCTGTCGCAAAGATGGGGGTGATTTGCCGCCCCACCCCCTTGGTGATTTTTGTAACTTGTCTGATTTCAATAATGTTGGAGTGTTGCAACCCTTATTTGGTTACCCCTTCGGGAAAGTATTGTTTTTTTGAAGCAGGTCAAAATAAGTAAAATGGAGGTCAATGTGACCTAGGGAATGTATATTGTGGATATTTCTTTATATCCATACGAATACATTCGATTAAACTTTACAGGCTCAGACATTTGTCCAGTAACGAATATTACAACATATTTATCCAACTAATTGAGTAAAAATTGATGTAAGAAAGATTTTCCTCGAATTAAGGCTCAAACAAAACGCAAAGATTTTAAACTTATTAGAATGTTAAAGCTTATATTTATTGATATTTATGCCAAAATAAAATTTAATTGAACAAAACGCATTATTTAACTCTTCATATTTTTTTCCTGTAATATATACGTTATTTATCGTAGTTTAAACAGTACATTGGAGAGTTTAAGCTTGCAATGTTTTTCACAACGTAACCATGAACGCATGAATTAATACTGTGATGTGTATAGCGCGCTTACTAAACAAGTGCTAATTAGTCTACTTCAGATAACCGGCTAATTAGTCTCTTTCAGATATAGGCCAGTCAATTGGTGAAAAAAAACAGCCTAACCTAGGACAAATTGCAATAGTTTGCAAACTTAGTTTAAATTGTTGATCAATATTCACCTTATATCATATCAAAAATATAGGAAAATATAATTAGTGGACAAATGTCAAATTTTACTTCATAGGTACCCACCCCTAAATTTGACTATTTGTTAAAAAAAATTTTTTTTATCTATAATTGAATAGTTTTTTCAAGTTTTCTTGTTTTTTTTATGATAATCGAATGACAAAACATAAATTTTTACCTAAGTAAACTTTCATTTGAGGCTTAGAATTTTTTGTTTCACCCTCGACGACCCCAAATGAGTCATTAATTGATTGACATTTCATGTATCTTTTCTTATATTTCTAGACTGGTGCATTCCAAAATGATTAAAAAAATCATGGTGATACATGTATATATGGACATAACATATATGGGATACCAGAATCATCAGTGGCATATTGGGGAAGAAAAAAAAATATAAGTTTTACATTTTCGCCCCACCCACTTTTGGGGTGACCTTACTTTTGCTAAATAATTTTCAAACTATGCAGTATTTCCTAACAATTCTACAACTTAAAGAATGATTTGGACATATTTCATCCAATATTAACTTTTATTAGAGTTTTGGACTCCTGTTTTGGACAAAATTATAACTGCAATTTGAAAAATCTGGAAAATTGGGGGGGGTATTTTGTAAGGCTAATACTGTATGTTTTGACATATATTTATATCAAATCAAATCAAATGTGCCGATAATAGGCCATTGCACTTATTTATGTGCTCATGTGAAGGTATAAGAGTGTATTTGTTTAAAATGAAAGTACAATCACTGATTTAGAAAGATTTGTGAAATCTTAAAATACTAGTATCTCAGACTGCTACAAGGCATTTCAGATTTTGGACTTCAAGAGAGATTGCGGTTGGCAATTAGTCATCGTTATTTATATTTGCACATATTCCTCTACATTCACCACTTGCCATGAAACAATCCATTCCATTCTTTCGACATGTGCAATGCTTTGTTGTGCAACCTGTCTTACAATTACATTTGATCACTTCTAAGAGTGAAGAAGGTCCTGCCGGTAAAGTTGTAGCAACTGGGAGATAGTGGACATTGTTCATTTCCCATCCCCATTCTTCTGGTGGAAGATTTACCCCCATCCATGCTTGTACTTGATGATATACCCTTAGGCTGTGGTGCTTTGCAGCATCAGATGTCGGTGGAAGCACTTTTGGATGAACAGACTCTTGACTAGAGGCAGCGTTCTCATGAAACTTTTGTAATCTCAATTTGTTTAAAGTCCCCGTCTAAAGTTTGAAAATATTTTTTTATCATTCATTTACTATTTGTCAGGACTTAAAAAGTTATTTTAGAGATTTTTGAACAAAAATTTTTTTTTGAAAAAAAAGTTGTGAGCATTTCATTTCTCAAATATTCAAATTTCCCGCCATTTTTCAAAAAAAGTTGAAATTTCTTAATCATCAAATATTTCTTAATGCATTACAAAAAAGATTATCTTTTTAACACCAATGCAAAGATTGAACAAAAGACACACTATTTCAATAATAAAATGTCATATTTAATGGGCCACTTCAATGTTTTAGCTTATCAAAAATATTTTGAAACATTAGTGATGTCACTAAGGTAACAAAAACTTTTTGAAAAAAATTGAATTTTTTTTTTCGATGTCAATCTTTTCTAAATATGCTAGATTTTCATAAAAAACAATGTTGATTGTCTAACCAGGTTAAAAGGAAGAATAAATTATGTTTTAGATATCATTGTACCATTGGTTTCTAAGAGAACTAAAATTTTGAAATGCATTTTTCTCAGAACCATTTTCATGCACTGATAAGTTCATTTCTCGCTTGTTTCTCAACCGATTTTCTTAATTTTTTCAGCAAAAAACATGGGAGGATGAATGCTATGCATTGGTATGAATTGTGGCTAATTAGAAGATATGAGTGACCTCTAAAAGTTGGTTTTAAATAACGTCACAAATTTTGGAACAAAAAGTCTATCAAAAACCACTTTTTGAAATTTAAAAAAAAAGTTTCACATATCACACTTTGATAACATTGGGTAAGACTACATTATAAGCCAAAGTGGTTTAAACTTTACATGGGGCCTTTAAGGTTTGCCCAAGCTTACCTCCTAATAATGATACAAAGGCAGCTTCTCCTTCTTTTGATATCATGTTTTGTGTGGCATCATGCAATTTAAATGTACAAGCACTTTTCTGAAAGACATCAGATTTCTTTATCTGCCTTTCTGAGACCCGTTTCCCAACTCCAAATAGCCTTGATGTTGAAGTATCACAGCCAAGAAGCGCATGAATGAATAGGATGTTGCTGCATACTATGTCACCCAAAGATAGTCTTGTATCTTTGATGTTCCATATTTTGGTTTTGTGTGTGGATTGCTTTGGTTCAGGCTTGAAGAATATGTTGTGTTCAATGTTGTGGGCGCGATGAATAAGCAGCACAAGGAGATCAGTGTCATCTCCTACAAGAATGGTCTCAGAAGTTGCAGCACATTCAATTGCAGTCTCTACAATGAGAAGGTCTGCATCTGCTCTGCATGAAAAACCTCAACCAATGGATTCTAGTCGCTCTGACAGCAGAAAAATAAAATTCTGCTTGTTTGTTTGATTCATTAAGAAATCTTCTTTTTTTACATTGGAGTTTTATTGTGTTAATGAATTGGATTACAGTCCCGGCGTTCCCTCCATTTCTATGAAGATGAGTTGCATCTTTTGTGCTAGGGCAATCTTTTGGTACCAATCAAATACTATTTTAGCATTTTGGTACCTCAACTGCACAATATAGTATACATATTGGCTTAAAATGTTCTCCCATGTAAAACCTTTTTGCCAAGGAATGCGATGAAGAAGGGCGCCTCCATCAATCACATGTTGAACATCTTCGTCACTTGGCCCTTGTAAGGAAGATATTTTTGGTGTCCACAATGCTTCTGCCAGTTGTGATTCTACCGCTGGTCTCATTACACCTTTTGATTCAGACAAAGCCGGTGGGAAGGAACAAAGCTCATAACCTAGAGCCTCTGACAAATCAAAAGATCGTGTACCAGCTATGGTAAGGCGTTGAAAAAGCAAAATAGGATCTATGTGTATTTCTTCATTGTTAACCTTGACTGCAGTTTTTGATCCCATGGTCACAGCTTGGCTTTTTCTTTTGAAGGAACACTCAGATACCCTTTTCCCAATCATAGATGCAACAATCACGTTGCCTAATTATTTTGCGTCATATGCATTGACAGAAGAAGCTGCAACTCCTGTTGCGATGTTACTTAATGATTGTTCAGGAAAAAGGGGATTTCTTTCAACAAGGTATTTCAAGATACACTTAGCATCTGTTTCATCTTTGATGATTCTTGTTGGTGTTGCATCTTTATGCTGCTCACTTGTGGCATATGTTATATCAGTGAGTTCTTGCATTGCACTGCTTATCTCTCCACATGCAGGTGAGGAAAGAATCCACACCAGACGCTGAATTTCAGCCATGCCCGTCCTCTCGTGAGACCTCCTGTTGACTTGATGCTTCGCATAAGGCATTGCTCAATTATGAGATCTGCAGACAGTCCTGCCCATGACCTCACTACAACTAAATCTTACTAGCTGGGGCTGTTGTGACCTATCTGATCGACGAATGACATGTAGCCCATTCATAAAATGGGCATATACCTCTGGGCTCTGTTTTTCAAGGTTATTCATTTTTTGGAGATAAAGATATACAGACTTTAGGTATCGATTGTGACCTGCTGCTGCAAAATATGGCAACATATCATGTGAACTTTGGAGATGAAGTGTCCAACTTCCAATCCTTTCTCCTTTTATGAATTTCCTAAATAGGTCGATCATATCCATATATTGCAACCATAGCTTTGCTGTTTTTAGGTTTTGAAGTGAGTCCTTCTCAGCTTGAAGCTTTTCTCCAAAGACTGTTGCAACATCAATTTTGTCATCATTGTCATGAATTACATGATTTATTATCTTATAAAGGACAAGATGCAATTCCTTCAGGTCAATATGGGTTGTATCATTCTCTACTTCTACAAACGGTTGTTCCTGTGAATCATTTTGTTCTTCATTGGTCTGATCAAGATCAATGTCATATACCTGAGCTGCTAACATAGTATTCAATGCACTATCAATCAGAAGGTGGCCTCTAACTGCCCTAGAAACTGCCTTACCAGATAACATATGACCAACTGTATTTTCAGCATATACAAGCTTAGGACAGCATTTAATCCTGACCCCTCCATGATGTGGCCTACAGAGCCAAGAAAACTCATCTCGGTATGAAACCCCCCTAGTCTTACAACCATTTTGTGAAAATCACTGTCTTCTAGCTCATTTTCTACAATTTTGTTTGCTTTCAACCAAAGTGGCTGATCAAATGTGATGACAGGAGTGCAGTTGTACCATCCAGCAAGAGATGCAACAAACTTCAAAGTGGCGTAGATACATGACATGTCACCCGGGTCCATATCTATCAAAGGTAGAAACATGACTGAAGATTCACCAGGATGTTCCCCCTTATAAACCATCTGCATAAATCCTGACCAAAGTGGACAAGGAGTCTTAAAAAAGCAAGGATGATTTCCACACAAGATCAAAGCCTGTTAAAGGTTTATCAAATGATTGTCTCACAAGCTCTTCATACCATAAACTACTAAACATATCATTGTCATTTGAATAGTAGTGAGTATTGATGCGACCAATTGCCTCTATGTCTTCTGAAGACACATCATGTCTGATCACTTGCCGAGCTGTTCTCACTTTAGGTGTGACTGTAGCAATAATGCCCATTACATGGGACGTATTCTTGCCATTGAGAGTTCGAACGTTGTGATCTACACTATCTGCAACATGATGTACAAAATGATTAGGAGTAATGTTAGGTATGTCTGTGTTTTGCATCAATGCTGCACTCCTTTCAAACTTCTGGACCTCAGAATATGAGCAAGTAAACCCATGTTTGTTAAGTGTGTCAATCAAAAATCTTGACTGGAAATGATGATGGAGCTGCACACCTAGACCAAGCTGTAATGGGGCCAAAAGGGCATTTGGACGAGTGGCCTGCATAATAGCTTGTCCAATTGATGCTACTTTGTTTCTAACATCTTTACCAACAAAGAACTTGCTCAAAAACATCGACAAAATGTCAGGTAAAAAGTCTAATGACTGAATGATGGAGGACATTGTGTCATATTCAGGATAAGTTTGGGGAGATTGCCTTTTTTTCCTTTATGGCACTTTCTATCAAACTTGCTGCAGTTTCTATAATTTTCTCTTTTTCATCTACTTGGTCTCCTTTGTGTTGATGAAAAGCATGCAATATTTTGGCAGCATTGTCATGAAAGGTAACAACATTTTGTATTCCTTGGATATCACTGATGATAAGGTTCTCACCAAAGAATGCTTTCAGCTCTTTCTTCATGTATTTAAAGCTATAGGGTTCAATTTCACTGTCATTTATGAACTCTTTCATCTTGCTAATAAGATCAGTGACGTTTGAAGTCAACTTTGAAGTCGACCCTTGAATTTTAGATGGAATTTTTGATATCAAATTTGAGGACATATGTGGTATATATTGGAAGTTATATTGCAAAAGTAAGGTCACCCCAAAAGTGGGCGGGGCCAAAAATTGATATTTTAAACATTTTTTTCTTCAACAATATGCAAGTTGAGAAGTCAGCATTCCATATGTGTATTACCTGTATATAGAAGTATTACCATGAATTTTTCCATGGCTCTTGGATAAAGCAATTAAGAAATATATACATTATTATAAAATATTTTGGCCATATGACAACATATTTTGGTGTATTTGGGAGGTAAATTGTCAATTGTTGGCACAAAAAAGCATTAAAAGTAGATTTAAATCCACTCTGAATCTTTCCCCTGAACTAATACAACATAAAAACATGTAAAAACTATTCAAATATGGAGAAATTATTTTTTCCCTTACCCCTAGTCAAAATTGGGGTGGGGGTACCTAAGAAGTGAAATTTCATATTTGTCCACTACATATATTTTCCTATATTTTTAATATGTTGCTACATATATATCAATTCACCAATTAAACCATGTTTCAAAACTATTGCAATTTGTCAGATGTGAAATCACCAATTGACTGGCCTAATAACCGTTCAGCTTCTGAGTTAAGAACGCAAAGTTCCGAATTTCACGGTGACGTCAACGGGAAATCATTATATTCACATCTATTCTATACTATGCTGGTAATTTTAATTTCAATACTAAGTAGAATTCTTTCTGAAGAAAATGATGTTTGTCATGATATGTTTTAGCTCCGACTATCTTATCAAACGAGCTTAATTAAAACATGTATCAGAAAACCAGCTATAGAACTATCAATGGCGTATAACATGCTGCATATAATTACATTATGCGGTGTATTCTAAACAAACACTAAAGCTCGAACAGCTATTTCAACTTCATCATGTATTTGCATTTGGGCGATTATACGTCTACGTTGCCGTTTCGATTTAATGGAGAATTTAAGCAATGCATATAAAATCGAAACGTATGCTAGCTTAAAGTATCCACTATTGATTCAAATGCGCAGGATTGCTCGAACTCTATAATTATTTGGTCGTAACAAAAGTCCAGTCGTATATCCCCTAGGGTCACATGATGGGCATTTATCGCCCTCATGCGGAAGAAAGGTAAACTTCTGCAACATCGCAGTAAAGAAGAGAAATAATCGTGCCCTCGCCAACTGTTCACCGACACAAACACGTCTTCCTGCTCCAAATGGCATCAGCCTATAATTAGATATTATTAAAGTTTACAAAGTTACATTATGGTTGCTTATTAGAGGTGGTACGACTTATAAATCAAAACTAGAATTCCAGATTTGCGTAATATCTTACATCTTTCTTTGATCGACTGGAATAACGTCACCGTTCTGGTCAAGGAAACGTTCTGGTTTAAATGTCCATGGATCAGCAAAGTAGCGCTCATCGTGGTGAAGACAAAACAGATTCACCCAAACCTAAATAGGGAGCGTGATAACCTTAAGTTGTGTGAGTGATGGAGCTCAAAATCGTTTGTGCAAGGATGAGGAATTCATCCTGGGTTTGTGCCAAATACTATAGTATTCTTTTTTAGTTTAAGAAAAGTGTTTCACAAAGACCTATCACACATTCGTTGCTTTAAGTAAAACTGCAATTCAAAACACCTCACATGCCACGATGTTCCTTGTTAAAGATCATCTTTTGGGATATGTGGGGCTTTTAATTATAACTTGTTGTTCTCTCAGATGTTTCATTTTCTTCTGTTTTACCACATTTCAGTATTTTTGCTTTGGCACTTTTGCATATACAGGGAGGGCCAAAAAAAACAATACCCAACTTTAAATCAGGATAAAAATAGTTACGTTCAATATGGTACATTGACTTATATATCATTTTAAAGGTAATACATTTTCAAACAATTTGGTATATAACACTATGACATAAAGTCAATAGTAAAGGTGTATCATACTTATTTGGGAGGCTGGGTCGCTATTTAAGGTCTCTAGATTTTAGGGAGAAAACAGTAAATCTGTGGAATTATGTAAACTTTTTGTTCATGGAATATCATTTTGTTAGGTGAATACAAGCTTGTATATTTGCATCATTTGTGACTTAACTTATTGTTTATGAATTTCAGTATTGTTTACTATCAATAAGTACTCAAAAGAGGTATGTTAAAAGACATAAAACGTATATGTGGTGGGGGGTTATTTTTCAACAAGACAGTGCCTTGTCCCATAGATCAAAGGTGACATTGGTATTCCTTCAGTAACAAGTTGTCAATTTGACTGATCCAGATGCTTGGCCACCCACATGACCCAGAAGCCCCAATGCTAATGTGGTGGATTACCATTCATAGAGCCATCTTCATATATGGTAATAGGTACAGGAAATGGTGTACAGTCACAAGCATCCAATAAAAAGTAGTGATTAGCTGAACCGCGGAATCCTAATTGCTGGAATGTATTGCAACAGAAATCTGTTGATAGATGGCGCTACCGCTTGAGGCTTATTGTTGATGCATAGGGGGGGGGGCATATTAAGCAATTGTTTAATAAATAAATTGTAAAATGTTATTAAACAACACTGAAATTCATAAACTATAAGTTTAGTCACACATTGATGCAAATACACATGCATGTATTCACCTAACAAAATGATATTCTATGAATAAAAAGTTTACATAATTCCACAGATTTACTGTTTTCTCCCTAAAATCTAGAGACCTTAAATAGCGACCCAGCCTCCCAAATAAGTATAATGCACCTTTGCTATTGAATTTATGTCATAGTGTTATATACCAAATTGTTTGAAAATGTATTAGCTTTAAAATGATATATAAGTCAATGTATCATATTGAACATAAGTATTTTTATCCTGATTTGAAGTTGGGTATTGGTTTTTTTGGCCCACCCTGTATATGTTACGATTACAATTTCGTACCACTGTTTTAATGATAACGAAGCAATTGAGTAGAAAATTAAATGAAGGTTGGACCCCAACGAAGCTTTTTGTAGCAGTGTAGCATTGGTAGCTTGTTCACCCTTGATTTGTACCTGTGTATCCTTTGGAATAAAATAATTCCCCAGTTTAGAATCCTTTGTAGATTTGCGTAAAGTAAATGGGACAACCGATGTATAGCGCATGGTCTCTAGTATGAATGCATCGACGTACGGGAGGTTGCTTCTATCATCCAATGTGGGAAACCTAAAATTTGAATAATTAATTTGCAGTTGTAAAAATATGTGCGCTAAACGTATAACGTAGATCCAACTGTTAAAAAATCAATCACTGTACATGCACAAAATGCCTATTATGGAAAACAAATCCACAACTCAAGCACATGGCGAACAATCTCGTAGCAATAAAGTTCCGCAACCTCTGTACCATTGAGCGCAGGTCCATGACCGCACCTTTCAAATTAACTGATTAATATGCTTTTCTTTTAGCGTATTTAGTCACAAGAACTAAATACGTGGACAGTTGTCATCGTTTAAAAGAACGATTTGGTCTTGTTTTTAGATATATTTATATATAAATGACTGTAACAATATCCTAGACACTGAATTTGACAGTGAATGTCATAGTTAAGCCTACACAAACTCAGAATGTTGTAAACGGAAAACGCGGGTAAATTTACCTGAGATTCTTTTTTTTTATAAAAACTATATTTCAAGAATAAAGCATATATACAATTATACATTATACATAGGCCTAATTACATTGTTTAATTTCTGTACAGTTTTTCTTTTTCAAAATAAGCAAGTATATTTCCAGTTTTGTCGATATTGAAGATTTGTATTGCCCTCCTGGCTATTAACACTTCTTTATAATTCTTATACTTATTAATTCCTATAATTTGCTCAAAAGTGATATTATCAAAAAATTTCCATATATCCCTTATTTTTGTACACTCATAAAAATTATGTCTAACATTGTCAATAACATTTCAATTCTCGCAAAATGAACTATCTCTAATTCTAAAACGATTTAAAATCTCATTACATGGATATATGTTATGTAATGTTTTCCAGTGAATAATTAGGAGTACCTGAGATACTATTAACGCAAATTCAAACTCATTTGCATTATACCTAACAGTTACCGCGTTAACTGTACCGCTTAATTATTTTTTCGGTATATTTTCAGTCCACCATCTAGACTTCCATGTTCAAATACATTTAGATGAAAACACCTGCCAATCTTGGATTATTTTATTCTTCTTTATTCCTGTTTAATACACTTGTATCTATTGCCTTGGGTAATAAAGCTTTGAAATCTCGTTAAAGTCTCGTTTTAATGATATTTTACGAGATCTGCATTTTAACCATTTAAGACAAACATTTTCTTCTATTTGATGGCATATTTGAATTCTGTGTGTAATTTTCTATCAAAACAATTTTGATTTGGACCTTTATTTTACCTTTATTCAAATTCTTAAGATTTCCCAACACCCATCTATTTTCCACTTATATGGAAATGGTTTTATTGGATATAACTCAACACTAATACCTTGCCTCATATACAAGAAGTTCAATACACTACATGCGTTTACCTTTCTGTCCCAAGCTCTGCGTCAATAGACATTTGGATTTTCTTTTGAATATCCGGATAGTTCATCAATACTAGAATTCCTGATTCAATGGTGCTCTCTGTTGTTGTGATGCCTATAAGAATAATAACTAGAAACTAGAAATCATAGAAACGTTTCTTAACCTACTATCACACCAAACTAGTTTTCAGTACGTTCTCGAAAATGGGCTTCAACTGTGTGCGAACGTACTAACGACGAGCTGGAAGTACTACGAACAGAACCGTCGTACTTCAATCCTACTAGGGACGTTTTAACAACGACTTGCACTGTCTGAGGACGTACTGAGAACGAGGTAGAACGTATTTAAGACTGCTTATGAACGAGTTAGCAAAAATATAGCTATCACACCAAACAAGTTGCCACTGCGCTCTTCAAAACTGGTTTTAAACTGTGTGGGAACGGAATGAACGTAGCTACAACGTTCTACGAACTTCATGGACTTTCTCGGACGGGGAATGTGATTTAGAATTTTGAATCGATTCAAAATTCGATGCGACCATACCGTTCTGTAATCAGGTCATGATGACCTTCTAGACTAAGGGACGCGTTATATGACGTTACACACTAACGTGGTGCGACCTGAACGAACTGCGAATGAGATGGATGTATTGAAGACTGTTTATGAACGAAGTAGCTAATTATTTTAGATATATTTCCCGACCACAGCCAGATTGAGCCCGTTTTAAGACGTTTTTGTAGGACTGGCAAGAACGGGTAAGAACTAGTTTGGTGTGATAGGGGGGTAACCAATTTTGAAGAACGCAGTGGCAACTTGCTTGGTATGATTGCTTTATTTTTGCTAACTCGTTGATAAATGCGCTCTTAATCAGTTTTAACCCGTTTGCAATTAGTTCTACCTCGTTCTCAATACGTCCTCAGACACTTCAACTCGTTGTAAAAACGTCCTTAGTAGGATTGAAGTACGACAGTTCCGTCCGTAGTGCGTCCAGCTCGTCGTTATAGTCTGGCAGAAATATAGGGTATTTTGACATTCAATCGTTTTCTTCGGATTACAATGTTTTTTTTAACTTATCAACATGAATATAGGATTGGGACCTCAAAACCACTGGATGCCGGTGCGGCACCCTTGGGCAACTCTCTACAGAGCATTTCTTATATCCCCCTGATAAAATATACAGGGGGTACTATAAGACACCCTCATATCTCAGATACTGATAAATATATTAACTTGAGATTTTCAGAAATTAGTTTTAGTATGATGCTTGACATGTATGACAAAAATCAAGAAAAAATCTTAATCCGTTGCTATAGAAACAGTAACAGAACACTATTTGTTACCATAGAGATGCATTATTTTGCTGATTTTCAACATTTATTCATAGAGTTGATTCTTAAACTAGTATATAGTATAACACTAGTATATAGGACACTGCATATTTTATATTTAGTATATACATGTATATCAAATTAAATCTAATGAATTCATATAGTAGTGAGGTTGGCATATAGTCTAGACTTTGGCATTTAGAACATGCATCATAATAAAATCTAATGTAATTATACAATAGAGAGGTTGGCATAGTCTAGATTTTGGCATAATGTCTAAATTTTAAAAGCATTGGCTTTCCTCACCTGAGCAATCAGACTACTTGGGGGCCCTGTATAGCTTCTGGGGGCCACTGGGGACCATCATATAGCTTTTAAAGGCACTGTGAATATTTGATTTAACATTGAATTCAATTGCATATTTCTCTAACAGTGAAATTTAATGGCCATGGAACATTTCAGATTGACAACATCGTATATTTTTGTCAGTGAAAATTTGGGCTTACTTTGGCCACTGGGGGCCCTAGTATGGTTTCTGGGGGCCACTGGGGGCCCCTGTATAGCTTCTAAGGCCACCATATAGCTTTCTGGGCCACTAGGGGCCCCTGTATAGCTTCTGGGGGCTCCTGATTAGCTTCTTGGAGACACTGGGGGGCCACCATATAGTTTTTGGGAGCCACCGTATAGCTTCTGGGGGCCCCTGTATACTTTCTTGGGGCCATTGGGGGCCACCGTACAGCTTCTGGGGGCAACCATATAGTTTCTAGGGGCCACTGGATGCCATCCTATAGCTTCTGGCGGCTGCTGGGGGCCACCGTATAGCTTCTGGGTGCCATCATATAGCTTCTTGGGCCTACCATATAGCTTCTGGGGGCTACTAGGGGTCCCTGTATAGCTTCTGGGGGCTCCTGTTTAGCTTCTTGGGGACACTGGGGGGCCACCCTATAGTTTTTGGGAGCCACTGTATAGCTTCTTGGGGCCCCTGTATAGTTTCTTGGGGCCATTGAGGGCCACCGTACAGCTTCTGGGGGCTACCATGTAGCTTCTGGGGGCCACTGGATGCCATCCTATAGCTTCTGGCGGCTACTGGGGCCACCGTATAGCTTCTGGGTGCCATCATATAGCTTCTTGGGGCTACCATATAGCTTCTTGGGGCCACTAGGGGCCCCTGTATAGTTTCTTTGGGCCATTGGGGGCCACCGTACAGCTTCTGGGGGCAACCATATAGTTTCTAGGGGCCACTGGATGCCATCGTATAGCTTCTGGCGGCTGCTGGGGGCCACCGTATAGCTTCTGGGTGCCATCATATAGCTTCTGGGGCCTACCATATAGCTTATTGGGGCCACTAGGGGCCCCTGTTTTGCTTTTGGGGGCCACTGTTAAGCTTCTTGGAGCCACTGGGGACCACCACATAGCTTCTGAGGGCTACTAGGGGCCCCTGGATATGCTTCTGGGGGCCACCATATAGCTTTCCGGGGCCACCGTATAGCTTTAAGGGGGCACTAGGGGCCACTGTATAGATTCTGGGGGCTACTGGAGGCCCTTGTATAGCTTCTGGAAGTCACCATATAGCTTCTAGGGGCCATTTGGAGCCCCTGTATAGCTTCTGGGGGCTACCATATAGCTTCTGGGGGCTACTAGGGGTCCCTTTATAGCTTCTCTGGGCCACCTTATAGCATCTTGGGGCTACTTGGGGCCCCTGTATAGCTTCTGGAGCGACTGGGGTCCATGGTATAGCTTCTGGGGGCCACTGGGGGCATTTTTTATTTGAACCTTGAAAATTAATCTATTTTGCCAGATTTGGTGGCTGTCGAGGTGGGGTAAAATTAAATTATAATTTTTTTTTTCAAATTCATGTGACTATTTATCTTTTAAGCAGCACTTTTTTATCTAGGGAGCATAACCTTTTCAAGAAGTCTTATTTTGGACCACCTTTTTAAAGAAAGTGAAATGTAAAAACCTGATTATTAGTGATGTTATCATAGCAACTGAAATGTTAGATATATTACATAAACCATATGATGAATTATTTCATCTTTACTTCTAATCATGTATATAACAGATACCTATATACTTCAGATGCTTTAAGAATCAAGAATATGAAGAAAATTATGAAAATAAGCAAAATAATGCATTTCTACGGTAACAAATAGTGTCCATTTCTGTTGCTATAGCAACAGATTAAGATTTTTTCTTGATTTTTGTCACATGTGTCAAGCATCATACTAAAACCAATTCCTGAAAATTTCAAGTTAATATATTTATTAGTGTCTGAGATATGAGGGTGTCTTATAGTACCCCCTGTATATTTTATCAGGGGGGTATAAGAAATGCTCTGTAGAGAGTTGCCCAAGGGTGCCGCTCCGGCATCCAATGATTTTGAGGTCCCAATCCTATATTCATGCTGATAAGTTAAAAAAACATTGTAATCCGAAGAAAACGATTAGCTTTGAAGTTTCTGCCAGACTATTAGTAGTGTACGTATTGGAGGGATACAACTTCAAGCAGTTTGAGAAAGTCAAGCGAACATGCTAGACGAAACGTCAAAAAGTAATGCCGTGGTAACATTTGCTCCGATTTTTAGCACCGGCTCCCTACCGATCAGCTAGGAGGCTGAAGGCACAAAAGCGGTGATTATTAAAAAAAAGTGGTCTTCCACGGAACTATATTCTGTGACGGCATTCTCAAGAAAAAAATCAGTGTATACATGAAAAGTTGAACGGCTCGTACACAGTGATATTCCTGCATATGTTTATGATATTTGGTGCGATGGTAGATTTTACCTAGATCTGTAGAATAAATTAAATTAAATCTCGCATTGAAAATAATAGTAGGTAGAAAAGTCGCGCCGACTGATCAACTTTTTTGGACCAAAAAATTCTTTATTTTTCAACATTTTAGCAAAAAACTAACGATCATACAATTTTGAACAAAATACTCAATCGGCCAGGCTCCGTAGTAAAAATCGGAACAAATGTGACCACGGCATAAATATGCCACTAATGCCTTGGTCACATTTGCCCCGATTTTCACTACGGCGCCCGGCCGATTGACTATTTTGTTCAGAAATGTATTCAATTTTGAACAAAATACTGAAGCAAATGTGACCTAAGCATAAGGCAAAATGACTTATATGAAATATAAATATTTATGTGTTTTGGAGTTGTCTCAGATCACTAGATATTCATACAGTTAAATCTATCTCGTAAGTGATGTATAGATGGCATAAGTGCATAGGTGAGTTAATTTATATAGACCATGCGATAAGGATGAAATGTCACGTGACTACATCTGGCGGGAATCAGTTTGTGAACTCATACCATGGAAAGCCCACCAGCCTCCCCAGCACCAACCAAAGTAATGAACAGGTTAATGTACTGCAACTAAAGTAAGTAAAAACATATATAAAATATATTGTCTATTGTAATATATATCTTTGCGATAGGGACCCCATCGGTATAAGAATATAGTATTAAATTGAGATAGATTAACTAATGTTTCTGTAAGAATTATGTTGAAATCATGTAAACCCAATAATTAATATATCATATTGGGTTAAAGTAGTGATCAAGCGACTCCAAACCGCACACAACTCAAATAAATATAAATGAAAATATAATATTAACTACCGTGAAATGTCATGATATCAGTTCTCTAATTCGCACATGTAGGTTACCTGCTAAAAGAATATTCTGGATCATCATGCGAACATTGGTATCGGAGATGGTGGGTTCGTTCTCCTGCGATACAAGTAACCAGTCGACCATACCCCGAATCTTTCCTTTCTCCATCGTATCCTACATAATACGAAACATAGACATAATTGAATTGAAATAGTAATCAAATACGTACTCGGAAGCTCCTAATATGCTACAAGTTAATCTAATTTCACGTATAGCATCCTTATAGTTCCTATTATAGGGAAACCAAAATCTGATGTATCCTAATTTTGAAATGTTTCTTTGGGTATTTTGCCTGAACTTGGGCATACCTTTGAGCCCAGGAGCCACCTATCAAGTAATCTAGTTCGAACGGTGTTGAAATGCTTTATGATTTCGTATGTGCTGTTCCCAAAGAACCGAAGCCAAGGGAAATGATCAAGCTCAAATCCTTGCCCTGTTCCAACGGCTCTTTCGATAGTTTCATCCAACTCTGCAATTGTCTTGATGTCATCTTCCTTCGTCATAGCCTCTCCAAAAAGCTATAAAGTAAAATTAATAATTCACTCTCTCAATGTTTACAGAATCATTATAAACACATTATTTTATCTCCAAGACGATGTCAATGAAATGGAATTTACAATACTCCCCTTATTTCTTAAAAATGGACTGATCCAGTTGATTCGTGCACATTGTGTTTATACGGGAAGCGTAACGCTTTAAATCCAAAACATATTGAAAGGACAAGGACAAGGTTATACAATATGTCTGGTTAATACTGGTTTTCAAAAAGTCTTTATGATCAACATAAACAGCTTTGAATTCACAGAAAATGTATGACCCCTATCTGGTTGGCCTAGCGTATCTAGGGTGTCTCAATAAAGAGGAGGTAGTCAACTCTGATTTTAAATATTGCAAAAATAGTGTTGTGTTTCACATGCCATCATGATAAACCATGACATCTCATTTCTTTTCAACCCTGAGGTTTCAGATGAAACAGAAAGATGCTATGAGTATCAGAATGATCACATGCAGGCATGTTAACTACGCGTGTTCATAGTCATCTCAGAACTGAGAATGGTGGCACGACATACTATTTGTCTCAAACCTTCACCTTAACAATATGAGCACCTTACCAATAAAGTAATGATCTTGATGACGCACTTGTAAATGTCGGCACGGGGATCGAACGGAGAGCATTTCTTGTCCGCCACTATTTTCAAGAAATCTTTGATCTCTTTGGCGTTTACTTCTTCCAGATGAGCCATTCCAGTTCCATACTGCTTTAAGCCACTGTGAGCAATCTTCCTTCGTTTTTGCTGCTCTGGGCTCGTATCAGCAAATGCTATATCTTCACCCATTTCTGTCACCCAATCACCGCGATTACGGATTGGTCGTCCTGCAAAATCGTCACCACGTTTAACAAGAGCTTCATAGCATAACTCCCCACTGATGACGACGATATCATCTCCAAAAAGGTTTATTTTAAAGACATCCCCATATCTATTTACCCATTTTGCCATCTGCACGGGTAAATTTTCTATGTCGAATTCTAAGGCATTTCCTAGTAATGGCCATCCCTTTGGTCCTGGTGCGTTGGTTCTTGGTTTGGTTATATACCTTATGATCAGATAAAGAAAGTAAATTGATACAAATCCTAGGAGAACAAACTGAAACATGATTCAACGTCAATACCATGAATTGAAAATGTAAATTCAAGACCCGGGATTCAAGATGTCTTGTGTTAATCAATCTCAACAGCCGTGTGTTCAAAATTCAAAAGTGTCTATTTACTATTTCTTAGTATTTGTGCAAGTTGTTGCAGTTGTTTAGACCTTTAACATCTTTTTTGATTTTGTCTGGGTCATCTTGACTTTTAGCAGCTAGATCAGATGTTGTGTTCATAATCTGATAGAGACGAATAGGTTATATAAATTGTTAAAGGCCGGTTTTAAAGTTGCTAGCAACTCTCATTAAAATATCAGGTTATAGACTGTGACCCATTCTGTAGAAGTGCTCTAGAAATGCAACCTTCCTTACATGGAAGGTTACACATTCCAACATATTTCAAAACATCTGTATGATTGTGCTGTCACTTTCTGGGTAGTTGGACTTTCTATAGGGGTGACAGACGGCCCTCAGACCAATTTATACCCCTACCCCCAAAATACCATGGGGGTACTTTAATACCATCAAATAAAAAGAATACTAATGCATGTCAGATATTCATTGTCTTATATTGGGTTGGGCGTATTATGGTTAGTAAGTGCCAGTAGTTTCCAATCTCTAACTTATATGGTTACCATAGAAACAGTATTTATATCTCGAAATATTCTCAATTTGACCCCCTCCCAAATGTGTCCTTTTGATCTCAAAGTGAAATATTTGCAAATCTGTTTGGATTTTATGGCTGTTACTTTGTCAAAATTTGTAATAATATGTCTTTATTAACACTAAAACACTTAAAACTTGATATAATGATCCTATAAATCAATAATATTTATCAAATATAGTCACACATAGCTGCTTTCAGGGAAAAGTGGGCGTGGCACTTTTTGGTACTTCTGCACTTGTTGCAGCATTGAATGAAAAATGCAAATTACACTAACAATAATTGATATTTAATTATTATCTACTAATGTTGTGTAACATTGTAATATGTTCATTATCATTATTAGACACTTTAAATATTTTATATAAGTGTTATCCTGACCCTTCCCTATCATAGGTCATCAATGGTCAAATGAACTTTTAGTTTAAGTTTTATAGGGTCCTCGGTCTTTTAAGACAGTCAAGAGTCAAGTCTTACTTATTCATTGACTTGTTCCTAGAATATGAATGGATAAGCTCAAGTCATCTAGAGTTATGAGTTACAATTAATTAATATGTTCGTTCAACTGGGTTCAATATTTAGAACCATTTTACCATGTTTACTGCAACTGCAAAGTAATGAACAGTTCAATCCTTTGGGCATGATATGTGATGCTGGTGTGAATAATTGCATAACATTTATGACTTGGATTAAACTTAAATGAATTAATATAACTCTGGCTATTAACCCTTCCCTAGTATCCTTCACATAACCTCTAAATCATCTTCATATCAATGGCCTAAATGGGGAAGGAGGGAAGGGTTACAAATAGTGACTGAGGATAATTTGAATCAAGTCATCAATAGTGGTTCGGTATATGTTTTTGAAATACTTCAAATAATTCCTAAACAAATTTGTTTCGTGTATGAAATCAAAAAAAGTAGATACATTTGTCTCATACTTGGACATGTTTCAGATACATATAGCAGGTTTGTAAATACTCATATTTTTACCAGCGGGCAGATATAGCTAATGTCCTGGCATGAGCGGGCAGATATATTACGCCTGCCCACTAAGGGTGTCGAGTGCGCATGCTTTGTTCATTCCATTGTTATATTATCATGAAATAAATAAATAAAAAATAAATAAGTCATAATCACCATTTGTGTATGAATAGCAATGAGGAAAGTAGCATACTTAATACATATGTTAATAATCAATGATTCAGAAATATTCGGATGAATACCTTAAAAACAGGAGAATCCTCCTAAGGCCAAGAAAACAAAATTAGACATGGATACATTCATATGGTTGAATTCTTTCTAACTCTGTCCAATTGAACAATGTGAACCAGATAAAAAAGATTGATATGGGATAAACAGATCATCCTATAGTCAGTTCATGATATTAAGATTATCCCTTGGCGAATATAATATATCTTTCCTCAGGACCTAAGGCCTTTGGCCAATAGAACATATCTTCCCTTGGGACCTACGACCCTCGGCCAGATATATTATATTGGCCTTGGAATAATTCCAATACCCTGAACCTCATATAGGATAATCTCTATTCGTCTTCATCAATTATTATTATACATATAAATCGGGATATAAATATAACCTAAAGTAAGAAATCACATTCTCTAACCAGTAATATTCAATTTTAAAATTGGCAAATGATGATTTTGTCACAATAGAATTGATGACCATGATTTATTTGAGAATAAAACAGACATAACAAAGGCTAACAAAAATCTTTAAAAATTTGGGTAAAACATAAATATTTTAAAATTGCTTGTTTTTCATCATTATTACTTCAATCTCCAAACCAAAAAATTGCGTTTTACAAATTGTTTCAAGTTAAAGTATGCTAAATTTCATGAGCAAACTAGTAATCTTGTTGGATATTTTTCCTTGACGATGTTTTATCTATTTCATGTATATACAAACTACTAGATTCCAAATTTTATTTTACAGGATGGGTGTTCATGAAAGTAACACTAAACATCAATATTGTCATAAACTGAACAATGCCGCTAATTGATTCTCCCATCTAAGCAACGGAGCCTCTTTTAATATATTGTAATTTTAAAATTGCCTCTAATTCAAGTTCTTCAATCAAATCTAAAATGGACACAACTGGTAATACCTTTATACCATATGAGAAGAATGTTTGTTTCTTTCAAATACATGCTTTCATTAGAAACATGGATATCCATAGTTTTGATTAATATTTAAAATGGTGTGCATTATATATGAGGTTTAATTAATGGGAGGTTTTTGATACAGGGAAATACAATATATCTAAGGGAAATACAATATACCTCCCCGAGGGGTCGAGGGTAGAATATTGTATTTCCCAAGGGTTATACCTTGTACCCAAAATGATTTATCATATACTAAAATACGAAAATATAAGAAATTGCACAGAATGAAAATCTTTGATAATTCAAGTATCAGTTGACTGATTTGGTTCAAATTTATTATGCTGATAACTAGGGAGACAAGAGATACAGTTAGGAAGGATTTTTCAAGATGGCAGCTGAATTTCAAAATGGCCGCCATTCTTCGTGGCAGAACGTAATCTTTGATAACTCAAATACCAGTTGATGGATTTGGTTCATATTTTATATGCGAATGTCCAGAGACATGGGAGCTCCACTCAATAAGACATTTTCAAGATGGCCTCTAAATTTCAAAATGGCCGCCATTTTTCATAAAAAAACTTAATCTTTAATAACTCAAATACCAATGGACGGATTTGGTTCAAACTTTATATGCTGATGCCTAGGGACAAAGGAGCTCTGTTTGAGAAGAAATTTTCAAGATGACAGCCTAATTTCAAGATGGCTGCCATTTTTGTAAAAACTTTTGATTTCCTACTCCGTGGAGTTGCTGTTTTCTAGTTGAAAAAAGTCATTGTTATGGCAAAAGGGTTGCACTAAACACTTGAAGCAGGTAATTAGATTTCAAGATCTAACAGCCTATGACAAATTATGGCAGTTTTAATGCGCAGTTCAATGGAGGTAAGTAATTTAAAAAATGATATCACCTGTCAGAAATCGATTAACAGATAAATTAGCATTGCTTGTAATCCTTATGCTATCTTTGTTACAACACAACCTAGTATTCTTGAAGATGAAAATCTATTTCTTTAACAGAGGTAAGATCTATTTAAAAGAAAACATTTAATTGATAATTATCCCAACGAATGAAGTTTGGTAGGGATATAGTGAAGCCCTCCATCCATTCGTCTGTCAGTACATCCGTCCGTCCGGAAAAATGGAAAAGGAAAAATAACAAAGATACTCTCAAGCTAACAATATAAGCAGCAACCTAAAGACGTCCGTCCGGAAGACAACTCAAATACTATTGTACAGATTTTTCTTCACATTTGGTGGAAAGGTGTCAATTGGTAAATAGTTTTATGCAAAAAATATTTTTTTCAAGGTGGGCACCGCTTTACAAATGGCGTTATTTTCGGGAGAATCTTATGTTTTTCATTTTAAACCAAAGTTATAAATATTTTTGTTTGAAATGTTGGTAGTACATGTATATTCACAACATCTATCTATTTCACATTCCATGTTTTTCGACCTGACCCCGAGGGGGGTGTATGGGGGGTCGGGAAAACATAATTTTTTTAATTTTGAGATAATTTTCTGAAGTATACATGTAGCTTTATTATACTTAAATAAAAAGGGATGGGATTTCGCAAAAATTTCTCAATCCTTTCAAAATATGGCTATATTTAGTTATATGTCTGTCTTATTATCTGCAAATCAAGGTTAGAATAAATGGTAAATACAATATCAGACATATACAGATCGAACCCATGGGCTTTCAAAAGAAAAGTAGGCAAATCTGTGTTATGACATGAGAACTTCAAAATGAGCGGTACCATGCTTCCCTTTTTTGATAATATTTCAAAAAGATTAAGATAAATATATATGTTTCTCGTATTATCTTGAAGAAAAATCAATTTTGAATATGATTAAAACATAAAACATGATTAATATCATTCAAAATTAAACAAAAAAGACCAATAAGAAAAAGAGGTATCAAAATGTTCTCTTCGAGTGTTGCTTTGTGGGTAATTATTCAAGAACACATTCCAATAAAACTATAATTTTAGGGAGAATGTTCACTTTCATTATTGCCATAATTATGAGGATACATTATATACATCTTTCCAACTATTATTGATGTACATTATATACATAAAAATGTTAGCTTGTACTTAGTAAGACATATTTTGTTGGCCCATTAATCTTAAACTTATGTCTGTGGATATCTATGAGGACACCAGATAGCCATTCTGATCAGATACTCATAGCTTCTTTCTGTTTCACCTGAAACATCATCTCAGG